AAAAGCTATTGATACACAAACAACAATTTCATTATACCAGTATTATGGAAATTTACCATTACAAAAAAAAAAAAAAATTATATCATGTTTAAACATAACAACAACAATTAACTTGTTTTAACGCCATCTATTAATTCATACCACCGGTGATAAATTTGCATACCTTCAGAGGAATTTATTAAATTATTTTTTTGTTTCCTTATTTCTAAATGCTCTTTAAATTTCCTTTTATAAATGTCTTTTTCAAAATGTAGAATTTTTATATTATTACGGTTAATTTTACAATTATTGTTATTTGTATGATCAAACCACGGGGAGTTATAGTACTTCAATCTGATGGCTGCTTCATGTTCTTTTATTCTAACATCTAGCACACGCCCTGTTTCACCTATGTATATATATGGATTCAGACAATCACATTCTAACCTGTATACAACCCCAGCTTTTTTTAGGCAATCAATTTTATTAACACTAGTAATATTTATGTATCTGTATATATTCTGTGAAATTTTATTGGTCAAAGATGGGGCCAAACAAATGTTATAATTTTTAAGGTTATTACTACAATAATCAAAAATATTCTGAATGTATGGAAATTTTTTATATGTTTTTTCANCTTTTAGGAAGCCGAATTGGACTAAGTAACCCGGAGAGTTCTACTCTTTTTGGAAAATTACAGAAAGCAAATATTGACCGGACTTAAATTCGGAAAATGTTGGCGGTCACCTTTTATTTATTATCATCAGTCTAAGTGCGGCACCTGTAAAAATCTCATTTCCGATAGATGGATTAGGAGAAGGAAGAGAACCGAAGAGCGATCAATTGATAGAGAAGCAATTTTAAAACTTATATTCTTTCTAGAAGAAAAATAATAAAATGTCTAGACGGATCCGTAACGAATGAAGAAAAATAAAATTCTAGTTACACGCTTCCACCTTTCTCTTCTCTTAATTTATTTGCGATGTCTCGTGGGCTCTTTAAAGTGTATTAAAATCTCCCGGAAACGTGGAAAACTCGACGTCCATCGGAAAAAAAGAAAGAAGATTCGAACTTCTTATAGCTTTTGCAAGGGAAGAATTGGTGTTGCCGCCTCTAATGGCGGGCCGTATATTTTTAAACTTAATGTTTTGACACGTCGTCAAAAAAGTAAATGACGACGTTTAAGGTTTAACATTCAACTTACAAATGAAAAATTAAATTCCGTTTGTATCATTGGCAAGGAGCCAGGCCTTTACCTCCAAATCTCCTTCGTTTCTTCGACTATTCGTCGTTTTAAAATCGCGATCGGATCAAAATTAGTTTCGACGGAGAAAACTACAATTGAAGAGTGTAGATTACGTTGTATATTTTTTCCCTCTCCCCTCTCTCTCCTTCAAATTCATTTTTTTTTTTTCCGAAATTTCCAAACAGAAATTTTATTAAATCCGCCGGAGAATCGCAACGTGTTTAGAAATTCTTCTTCGGAATGAAGTTGTGAATTTTTGTTGTTAAAACGCGGCAGCGTTACATCGAAACAGTTTTTTTTTTCATGTATATTTTCTCGATTTGTTTTTTATTTGGAATAGGGCCAAAGACGTTATTTAGAGATATTAGTTAATTACTAGTCTACGGAAAAGAAAAAAAAACAGCTCGAATTTCATTTCCTGGTAGGTGAAATCCTGTTATTGTGAAACGAAAAAAAAAAAAAAAAGTGAAAAATATCTTAATTTATAATAGCGCCCCATTTTTTTTAATTATAAGATACAAATTAAGATATATTAAACTGAATTTTGATGCATTTTTATAAACGTTATAATTTGTTTTAAAATGGAAATTCGAAAGTTTCTCTTAGAGAATTTACAAAGATAACAATTTGTTAGGAAATAGTTTAACGAAAATAAAAGAAAAAAAAATACGAGGGGGAAGTTATATTACTAAGATGTGTAGAAATGCTGTCGTTAATCGAAAAAACGGTTGAAGAGGAGTATTTAAAAATTTAAGTTTTATGTAGCACGGTATCGTCTCTCTAATCAGCCACCGGTCCTTTTGTAAAGTGCAATTGGAAAGATTGCTCCTATATGAATGAGGGTTACGAGAAATATATTTACAAATGAAAATATCCGACCGAAAAACAAAAACAATAAAAAAAAAAGGAATCTTAATTATATATATATTGCTGGTTTCTCTTCAAATTCGCTTTATGCCACTCCATTTTTTTAAAATTCCGGAAAATCTGGAAATGGAAACCTGTTTTACGCATGGAAATTCATTTTGTAATTAAACGAAAATAATGAAAATTAACTCCATTCGACTGCGACGGAATAAATTTGTTTTAACTCAACTTTTTTTTTCCTAACACAATTAACGCTAGTTAATTACAAAATGTATAATGTGATGTGTTAGAGTGCAGTTTTTACTTTCGAAACCCGCGATCGTTGCGGTCTGGCTTCCCGTTAATTCTAGAATCAACGTTTCTAGTTTTCTCTTTTACATTTACTTTCGAATTAAAACTACGGAATTAACCATTTAATTCTTTTTATATTTTGAAATAATAATTATTTATCCCTTCCGAGCGTTTGCCATCGTTTACTCGAACTCGCCTAGAGTCTAAGGCTTTGCCTACGTTAATTTCTTTGCGGATGGTTCGTCCTGGCGGTATATTTCGCGTGCGATTAAAGATCAGAAAATCGATTTCTATTAAAATAAAGTTTGCATAAAATATTACGTCGAAATACGTTGTAAATAATGTATTGAATCGTGACCGAATTTTCGCATACGTTATTAAAAATATATTAAAAAAAAAAAAAAAAAACTTGTTCGGTTCGAGTCGTAATCATCCTCGTGGTCGTCGGCCATCCCCCTTTAAAAATGTCCCCGTAAGTCTAATTAGTGGAAACGATTTCGACCCTTAACATTTATTATTTCGTCCAGCGAACTTATCCATAATTTCTTGTTCGTACCCGAAATCTTATTTCGTAATGTACGTGTGTCTAAAATACTCCCTTACCTAAATAACGTGTTAGAAGTTTAACGTTATATCCGAAAGCGGGGCTTTAATCTGGAGAGGAGTTTCACCGGTAGGACCGACTTTATTAGAAATTATTATTAAATGAAAGCGTGCAACCGGTTAATTCATAATAAATATCTTATCTTGAGTTTCTTTTATTTTACCTGGACTCCCAGCTGATGGTTGCAGGAGCACAGGGACAACAGCCATTGCTAATGCAAGCAGGGCTAGCACAACAGTTGCAGGTGGGAAAGGTATGTAAATTGATCAATTTAAATAATTTGAAACTTTTTCTATGCATTTTAATTAAGTTTATTAATGTTTTATTCTGACTAATAATTTTATTTATTTCATAATTATTAATTTATGCAAAAAATAACACTACTAACTTTTAATAATGCATATTTTGTTTTACACAATCTATGACTTGCATAAGACAAATGCATTTTTGTGTACTGTAATCATAAGTCATAAACTTCATTTAATATAAAAACTGAACTTTTTCTAATAATTAGAGTTAAAAAACTAAGTCTCATGTTTTGAATATGCTAATTAGAGAGGTAATTTTCATGAATAACATTTTGTTTAAAACATTAGTTATAAGCTCAAATTCAATGAACTCACTTTTATATATTTGATTTAGACAAAAGATAGTGATTAAAAGCCCGTTTGATATAACTGCCATTGTGATCTTTGTTGTTGTATAATTATGAATAATTAGATTTTTCAGGAGTAATATTTAGACATGAAAAAAATTATAGAAATGATATCCAAAATATTTTATATCTAATGAAAACAATAATAATTATCTAGAATATACTTTGATATTTATATCATTGTGAACGAATTTGTTCTTTAAAAATTCAAAAAATTAATAGTTTCACATGAAAAATTTCTTAGTAATTTACAGTCGCAGCTCTAGTGATATCACTATTATTTCTTTACATGAATTTTATGTTTTGTTTCATAAAAAGAAGAAATAAATAAATTTTTGTTTTTCTTAATAATTATGATTTCTAAAAAAAGATTTTAAAGACAATATCTTATATTATCAAAAGTATGAAATATTAGAGATTCAACAACAAGCCAGTAGAATTTTAGGATCTTGATAAATATGCAGTTTTTGAAATATTTGTAAATTTCTTCTTACTTTAACCCTGCCAATGACTCAGAACTTTTATTTATTTATATTGACATTCTTGATAGTAGATATATTAGTTAAATTAGCCAAATATTAAATTTGTTGTTAAAATCTGTTTTAATTTTCTCCTTTCATATATATTTTCAAACATGTTTGTAGAACGTTAAAACATGAAATTGTTTTAATATTTTGTTCTCTTAACATTTATATACTGGCATATATAAATCAGTATTGTAAATTTTAATGTTTTTACTAAGATAATTTGTAATTTTATCAAGCAAATATATCAAATTCTATAATCTAATTTCTTTAATAATCTTATATGCAATTTGAAGATGAAAAGATTCTTCAAGAGGCATGTTATTATCAAATACTTGCAATTTTATAAAAATCTGTTAGAATAATAAAATGCACTTAAATGGGTAACAATATAATGTTAGAAAACAAATATTGAAATTAGTTAATTATATTTCTTTACTAAAATAACTTACAAATATACAGTAGTGTAATAACATAAAAAGATATAACTAATTATTTATATGTTAATAATTTAATTTTGTGAATAGGCAGTTAACTATTACTTAATGTTCATTTTAATGACTTAATTTTGATAATTGATATAATAAATATATGTAGATTAATTATAATTCATCAATATAAAATTCCTCAACTGGTTTTATTTAATATTATTGTAGATTTCTTATCACAGATATGCAACAATTTTAAAAGCAATTGATAATTTTATTTGTTTTATAATAAAATTTAAAATCAATATAATAACATTCATAAATTTTTTCACAAAGATGATCCATATTAATTTAACAATTATTATTATTTTTTGATAAAAATAAAAGTTTAATCACTTCTTAAAAATAACAAATTAACTTTTCTTTGAAGATTCCAGTTACATCTGGTATTCCTGGTCTTCAACTTAGTCCACAAGATCTCCAACAGCTTCAACAACATCTGCAGCAGCATCAGCAAAATTTGCAGAGCATGCAGCAATTTGTATTTCTCCAGCCGGGCCAATTACCAGCAAATGTTCAAGCTCAGTTATTTCTCCAGAGTCAGGTATTTGTTTTTCTGTTTGCAAATTGCTATTTTTATTAAAACTGATTGAATGATTACTCAAAATAAAATGCATGATTTTATAGGGATTGTTGCAGCAGGGTTTGATGCAACAAAGTCTTCAAAATCTTCAGCTTCAGGCAAGCCAGTTACCTCAGGGAGTTCTTTCGACACAGGCTGCGGCTGCTGCCGCCACAGTTGCCGCTGCTGCTGCCGCCCAGCAACAGCTTCAGCAACTCCAGCAACAGCAGCAACAAAAACAAAAACAGCAACAACAACAACAACAAGCTCAGACACAATCACAGACACCATCACAACCACCTCCGCCATCTCAGTTACCACCACCATCCACACCTACACAAAAGGTTTGTTAATACTATATCTATTAATAAAAGTATATTTATTTAAAAAATTGTTTAAAAGAAAAATATTAATAATATTTATTTTACAATCTATCAAATTATCACAGAATGCGTGTTTTGTAAATGTTCATTAACAAAGAACAATAATTTTAAAAATTAACTTAAAACAATTAAAATTAATCTTTGAAAATAAAATAGTATTTTTTGACTTTGTAGAAAANGGTAAATGAAAGACGAGACTAGATATGGAAACCTTAGGAGCAGGAGACCCCGATTAACTGTACAATGCAAACTGGAAGTCACATTAGTTACATAATTAAAACATTTTTCCCTGAAAGGTGTTAGCTAAATGACTGGCTTGACTCTATTGTTAAAGGAAAAGTATGATATACAAGAGCAAGACACTACAGAACTAATTTCAGGTGGAGGTCAAATATTTTTAATTTAAATTAATTAAAAATATGATTAAAAATTGCAGCTTGGCATTGTGACAATAAATAATTGCTCATTAAACAATAATATTTTTATTCAAAACCTATTAGTATTTTTTTACTATAGCTAAGAAATTTTTGCATGTATTCATCTTGAATATTTTAATGGTAAATTTTAATTGTGAAAGATTGTTTTAAACTTTTTTTTTCCCTTAATAAATAAAAGTGTACATTCTAATTTTACTTTTTTTAAACTAGAATACAGTAAAATATTTTGGGGTTGAGTACGAAAGGCACAAGATGACTTAAACAAAGTAAATATTTTTTCTAAATATTCTGTGCTGAAATATCTTATATGCCATAAAAAAATAGTATTTGAATTCTTATATACATGCTATTAGCAGAAAGCAAATGAAGGTATATAAGAAAGTTTTATCTTACAAGGGGACCTTGCAGTCTTGAAAATTCAGTTCGGGATGAGACTTCTCAGGTTAGTAGTATACCTCAAGGATGTCCACCCAGAAGAATTGTAAAGCACATTAGCCAGAAGATTCCAAGAAAAAGGGCTCTAAAATTTTAAGCGCAGCTCATTTACTGGTCAATTTTACACTATGGAAGTGCAATGGAATGGCTTAGTCTGTAGTGAACTCGTTTACAGCACGGGCAATTTATGTTCGATCCTAGCTTTGTAGCTTTGGCTAACTTTTTTTTTTTTCTATTATTTTAAAAATTATAACAATCAAATTGATAATTATATAAGATATTAAACAATAAACAGAAGAATTAAGCTGCAAAAAATAACCATTCAAATTGTTAAACAAAGATCAATGAAACCATTGTCTGGATTAATACAATGAGAAGTAACGTAACAACCTTCTTAAGACGAAAGTAATGAAATAATTAGGAAATCCTGCATAATTAACTGTAGCTAGATATATAGAATTATTCTTAATACTTCAAAAATATCATATTTTTATAAAAACAACCATTAATTATCTAGATTAATTACTACTTTTTTCAATATAAAATAATCTAAACATACAATATTTAATGAAATTAAATACAGAAAATTTAATTTATTTTCTGTGTAAACTTCCATTAGTAAGATACATAAATTATGCTAACTGCTGAATCTGTCACATAACAAAATAAAAGTGCAATGTCTTAAACACTAATTTTAGATATTCTAAATGTATAAAAAGGCAGACAAGACGTCCTATTTTTACTCAAACATCTATTAAGCACTCCAACAAGCGCTACTAATCTAAATAAACGGTTCGTCGTTGACTCCCCGATAACGCAAACACCAAAAGAATAGCTACGCGTAAACGAATGTACATAATACGTATAAAAAAAGCAAAAGAATTTATCACTGACACATTATCTTTTTAAGCTATGTAAACACAAATTTTTAAGGCTCCTGTATTTAAATAACATAAAAATACAGAGGTAACCTCCACAATACAAATACAGCCGTTCATTTTGGTTATCTAAAGGGGGATTAAATTTGGGAGGGGGTCCAAACCCATCAATCCAGAACCAAAATTTTACCTTTATATATTATAAAAAAACTAAAAGTAACTCGTGACCAGAAAATAAACATGTTTTAAGTTAACCAATGATCCCAATGAAGCCAATATATATCTCAATGCCTTTTAACGTAAATAATGGCTTATTAACAGAATTCCTCACACTAAATTTGTGCAGATGTATGTGGAAACTTATCACCATCACTAGGAACATCACAATGATACTTTGGTGTTTATAATCAACAACACAACCAGATATACTTAATAAACAAGGCAAACTAAACCAATTTCGAGCACAAAAAGTTACAAGAAACAGTTTTGACTGTGTTAAACAGGCTAATCGTCAGAATTAGCCTGTTTAACATGTCGAAAACATTGGCCTTCTCATAATTCTGTTTACCTCGTCTACTTTGATGCTTAGTAAGCTACTCTTATTACCTCCTCGGTCCCTAAGTCCTCTTCAGCCATAAAAATACATAACCATAAACATAAACAATTATAATTTAATAAGCCAAAATGGTTATAAACTACCATCACAATTACAACTGCATACAATTACATACAATTGCAACAGATGTCTTACTGCTACAATTATATGTAAAGGCTGCAGAAGTAAATAATGACTTAGTTAAATTCATAACTGAGTTATTTACAGTGCAAACCTTCAAAGCCCATGTACAAAACTGAAAATAACTCTTCTCCAGTTTCAGTGCTGCTTCTACACAGATTTTCCCGCAAAAACACGTCAGTTCTGTTACGTAAACTTGGAATTAAGTGTTTATCCCCGCACGAGCTACAACACTGGGTAACTGTTTACTTGAGTCAAAGGCCAAGATCCGTTAATTACTTAACAAAAACAGTAACTTTCGTACGTTTTGTCACGTTTAAATCGAGCGACACGTGAATATTCGACTTACCTTTCTAATATTAACACATAAATTTTTAAGAAAATAATAAACTTTGAAGAAAACTTTGAATTATTATCGAAGAAATGAATCCATTTAAACGGAAGTAAACTCCACGAAAGAGTAGCTTTCACTTTTCGCCGCTTGGGGCAGCGTCGTCAGTGTAGTCGACTTTCCATTTTATAATTTTAAATATTAAAAATAAAATTGTTGTTATTTAATATTGTTGCATTTATTGTTGGATAAACCAAAATTATGTAAAGTTTGTAATAAGTGTTTTAGGGAATCGGAAGAAAATCCCAGACCGCGTCCTTTTAAATTTCTACCGGATAAAGGACAAATTCAAAAACTTATCTTCGGCGGTTCTTATTCTGAAGTTTCGGGAATTATTTTCGTCTTCGATGTCGTCGATTTAGCTTTTAAAGTAATTCGTGAAGATAAACATACTCTTGATTATCCGAAAAAATTTCTTCCTTGAGAATTATCTATTATCAGACATCTTCACCATCCGAACATGCAGTCCACTTCCAGTCGAAAGAGACAAAAACCGAGTAAGAATTTAAATTATTTAATAGATGGAACAATTTTGGGTATGACTTCCAGTATAAATAGATTTGTTACTAATTTTCGGCAAAATTAAGACCTAGCAGACAATACAATCACTGACCCATATATATGCTTCGGCATTTATATTTAATTTTGATTCTGTTAAAACTTAATATTAAATTTTTTCGGCAATTAAACACTGAAAAAGTTATTAAAGCAGATAATACTTCTATTTCTAATTCTTATAAATAGAGAGCAATGAATTAATCTGACATTTGTGAAAATTATTGTGCTACAGAAACTCTAAACCGTACAGAGTAGCGCGTCCAACGAAGTCACTTCCATATATAGTGTTTTTACTGTATAGCGCTCCCAGTTTCTAATTTAAAATACTTATTACTTATTACGGTTACTTATTAATTTGTTTTTTTCCGACAATAATGCAAAATTAAACGTTTTCTAATACAAAATATCTTTATACCAAATATTGAATGAATAGAAAAGTAACAACTGGATTAAACAAAAAGGGCGGTGGCTCAGAGGAATTAATAAAAATACCTATCCTAATAAAAATACCACTTCCTTTAGTAGCTTATGCTTGTTCCTAAATTCTTAACGCTGCATCCTGTGATTCTCAATCCTCTGATATATGGAGTATGAGTGTCATTTTATGTTATGGTCTTCAGTTGTATACTGTTCGACGAATCTGATATCAGAATTTTCGTGGATCAAATAGACAAGACCGTAAAGTTTCCCAAATTGCAGGATTTATCTGGTGATTGCAAAACTCTTGTACGCAATATTCTGACCTGAAGATTTTAGAGTAAAAATGAAGGAAATCGAGAATAGTGTTTGATGTAGGCCTAATTCAAAATGGAATTCCAAGTGGAACGAAGAGTCTCGCGCGGAAAAGTGCTACGAAGAGAAATACAATGGTATAGGAGTACGTCATTATCATTCTGAATTAAATAAACAATCTTTAGGAATTTAATCTATTAATGCAGAATCGCAAATCTGTGTTTTTCAGTCGGGACCTTCATATACACGTAACGATTCCAGAAACAAATTCGAAGAATACCTCCAAGCAATGTCATCGAAAGTGTATAAGAAATAAATTTAAATTTATGAATACAAACTGAAAAAATAATAAAGAATAAAAAGCATTTTAAATGTATGATATTAATTAATCTGTGCACTTTTTAAGTAGCAACTGCGTATGCGAACTAAGGGGATAGTCTGTTTCGTACGAAACAGACTGTACCATTGGTTTGCACACTAACTTGCGTATCACTTACTTGGACTTGCTCTGCTACATAAAAAGTAAGCAACGTCTTGTTTAGGCTTTAAATATTTATACTTACTTAATTAATTTTTAGGAAGTTTCAATAATCTCCATTTAATAGCTTCTATTATTAAATAAAAATGAACAGTAAAATATGTTATTTAAGATATTATCGCATACGTAGAAACGTTGCATTTTTTGCAAATAGTTCTTGAGAAGTAGAGCGTAACAAATAGACAATTCAAACATCGTTAACAGTAGACATTCTTTCGTTTAAATTATAAACAATATATTTAAAATTGAAAAATGATGTTTGCAATCTTACAATTTAAAATTAAACCAGATTTTATATTTTTAAAGTTGCACAAAAATTATTCTCTGGTTATGCACTTCTTATTGATTTTTTAAATATACAGAAACGATTTAAATCGTTCTCTAATGCAAATCTCTGAATTGCAACATCAATTCTTTTATCAAATAAGATTTTCAAGGTGAATGATCCCATCTGAAAAACTTGATTTTCACGAAGACACAATACAGCTTTATAGAAATTTTTAAATAAATATAAACTTTATATAAATTTTGTGAAGTCAACATCTCTAATTGAAGTGAAAGTTGAAAAAATCGGAATAATATCAAGTATTATGGAAGAATTTCAACAATAGTTTGACTGCTATTAATAAAAAGTCGAGTTAAACAGAGTCAGAGCAGGCATTGTGATGTGTACACGTTTTCACATCGTCCTGGAATGACAGGAGAAAGACTCTATCAACTTGGTAGAAGAAAAAACTAGGGAAAAAAATGCAAACAAGTATGCAAAGCGTTAAGATACCTACTCTTTGTGTATCTAAGCACGTCACTGTAAAGAGATTAAGAAGTATTCTGTCGAGACTTTCTTAATCTCTTTTGCATGACCTTCTCGGTTGTGACATTTATGATCCTCTGTAAATTTCTCTTTATCAGGTAAGTCCATACGTTAATGAATTATTAAAACAATGTAAATCAACTGTAGGAAAATTAGTATCTGTATGCAAATTGAGTTTTCATTTCCTGTAAGAAATTATATATAAGTAAAGAAAATTCTACCATTTTGAAAATCAGATAACTTCATAAACAAAATTTGAGTGCATGCTAAAAATCTTGCTAATTACTTCAGTCTAAGATTAAACAAAATGGCGCCAATTTTTTGAATTATTTCGTTAAAAAACGTATGCCACTTTGTTTATCTGTGTTAAATTTGTTTTTATAACAAAAAATTTAAGATAAACCCTCATATAACAATCAAAAATAAAAACTGTTTGAAGAAAAATGAAAAAAATAAAGCCGACGAAAGTCGAAAAAAATGGCTTTAAATAATAAAACACAGAATATTTTATAATCCCCGATGACACTTTTAGTATAAAGAACAAAGTAGAAATTCTAATATAAAGGACGGGCCTACAGTTTCTGGAAAACTTTTTACAATACAGTAATTGCAAACTAAGTAAACAGCGCGGGCGACACACACGATCGATACAAGCCGCACTTTTCATTCCGGAAACGATCTTTAGCTGTAATCCAATTAAATGGCTTCCGATCGCCAACCGAAACACTTGTCATCTTTAATTGATACAATTATCGTTCGATCTCGTCACGTACACGTATGACGGTTTGCCTCAAGCGATTAGTCGCTGCTACATCGCGTGAGTCGCGTCGCTTACACGCATTGTATGAGATATACTGAAACTAATAAATTAATAATAATGTTTAAACATATAAGTTATAGTAGGTATATTAATGAATAATATAAACGAGAAAAAGTTGTTCGCGACGCGACGTTCACAAAGTTTTCGTCACGCGCGTCGCGAATCGCGTCGCTTTGATTGACGGAAGCAAACTTTCATTCTTTTTCGTTATATCGAGGTTTATTGAATTAAAAACAGATTTTTATTTATTTTATTTAGAATATGGACTTAAAAATCATATTTTTGTGCATTTAAACCAACATTTTTACCTTAAAATATATTGCTCATCTCTGTTCTACCCAAGAAACAATTTACTAAAATTCCATTACGCTTGTATAAAAAAAAAAAAATACAGCAACTATTTTATAAATTAACAAAAATGTTTTCTTCTCGTTTAGCAAATTTATTGAAAGAATTTTACGATAATCGAAGTATGTACGGAATTGCTTTATTCGCTCGTCTCGTCTAGTCTCGGCCTGGACGCGTTACAAACGAGATCGACGTTGACGTTTATAAAAAAAAATGTCCATCTAAAAATCCATTTGACGTCATCCTTATCGTGACGAATTCTAAAAATCTTAATTTAAAGCTGTTAGAATGAATTTATAAGCGGCGAATGTGAAATATTTCTCGATGATTAACGCTGAAATAATATTAAAGATGGCGACCGTCAGACGTCGCTATTTTTGGATTTTTATGATTAATATTGAAATGTTAATTATCAATAGGGCCAGGTATTAATAAAGTCGAATTTAATTACTTGGAATAATCGATCGAGTAATTTACTTCAAACGTTTAAAAGTTACCAATTAAAAGACGAAGTTTTAATTTTATTTGATAAAATACGGAAATTAATCAAACTACGATCGAACCTAACGTGAATTTTTCAAAATTTGTAACGCTTAATCATTCATAATTTTATGTCATCCGGTAAAGATATCTAATATTTCAAAATTATTGATTATTTTCGATTAAATATATTTTTTTACAGAGCAAAAAATTAATTTAACCAAAATAAAGTTAGATTTAATATTAAATATAATTCATTCTTAATCAAATTAGATTAATGATACAAACGTCCACGTGAAGGCGCTGATATTTTAAAATAATTTTTTCGTAATAATTTAATTTTATTTTTATACGCTTTATAATTTATAGAGAATTATAAAAAGTATGATAAGTGAAAAAGTTTTACACATTCAAAAAAATATACTTATGTGCCGCCATCTAGTGTGTCGATTTCTAATTATTCCAATATCGTAATTATTTTTTAAAAAAATATCTTCGTACCGGTACATAAAACAAATTTTTAAAATTATTTTAAATTATCCCACCGTTAATTATTATTCAAATTTCAATGAATCGTTTAAATTAGGGAAAGATGCGATACATATTTAAATGAAGGAACTGCAACTTATTGATGGAAAATATTATAAAACTTTTTAAATTAATTATAAAATTTGTTAAATTTATTAAAATGATAAATTTCAGAAACTATTTTTAAAATAATTCAATTACTTTAAATTAATTATTTTTTTATTATTCGTAATTTTCAGACGAACTTTGACGATATCGATGGTTTTCGTGAAAGCGCACACGAACGGGTTTTGTTTGTATGTTTTAAATACATTTATTTAATAATTTATCACGGCATCGCCGCTCTTCCAGCTCTTATTATGGTAATTTCTGGCAATTTTATCGATTAGATCTGTAACGAGTGTCACTCCCGCCACGTGTTGTTGCCGAGTTTCTTTTCAATAATCGATGCCGCCCGCATCCATTAGCCTGTAATAAACTATCCCATTTTTAAACTCTTGTAAATCTTCTTCGAGATAAAAAAAAAAAAATGGGTAAAATAAAATTCGGTTATCGGTCAATCGAATTTGATAGAATTCTTCGAAAAAAGTCAAAAGTTTTTATAAGAAAAGATTCAATCCATTGACGAAATGAGGCGCCATTAAGTTGGTACGTCAAATTTCATTGTTGTAAAAAGTGTTGCCAGATCTCTACAATTTTTTTTAGAAAAAAAAATCGAAATTTATCGAGTCTATTAAAATAAAATGCAGGTTAATTCATTTATTGATTGTTTTAACGGTGTTAGCTTGCTATTAAACTGTAAGTTTTTTCAAATTACTTACTTTTTGCTTTCTAAGTTAAGTAATTTTCTATTTTTGATTCCTTGTTACTGACTTCTTTTTTTTCCTTACAAGTTCTTGTTCGTGTTCTGCTAATTACCGAAGGTGCTACGAACTTTTAGTAATTCGAAAGTCTCACTGCAACATATTGAGTAACGCAAATGCGTCAATACCGCCGTTATGCGAAGTACAGTGCTCCTGTACGAAGTTATAAATATCGAACGGTTACTTAAAGCACATTTTTCTTTGAATATCTGTAGAATGAGTTGATTTTTGTATCCTTTTAAAGACTCTGCAGCACCAGTACTAATACTAAAATCATTCGTTTGCTCGTTAGAATTTCTATAGAGGCTAATAGGGCCCGGTATATCTATAGATTAGATATACCGAGCCCTTTTGAAGGAAATCCAAGAAAGCCAGCCTTTTCTCGACCGATGAATGGCCTGACTAAGTTAGTACTTCTAATATCTCAGTATTTGATGGACGTTTCGGAACATTGTAGCATCCTTCATCTTGGAGCATCGATGGTTTAGTGGATATTTAGGATAATAATACATAAAATATTTAATTAGTTAATTAAGCAAACAAGAATAGGCAATGTAAAGTTTAGTTTACTCTAGTTTTAATGTACTAAGTATAAAATACACATAATACAAAGCGAATCAAACAAGAAATCGATAGATGGGTAACAACAATCCGTAGTAACGAAGATAAAATATAACACAATTGAAAAATGTTTTAAAAAATCGGCAATATATATATATTATCAATTTAGATAGTTATAAAATACACCTCCAATTAATGAGGGAGGTCTTTTGTAAGGGTGATCGAATAACAACTTTGATCCCTTCTTTGTTGAAACTCTTCGTTCCAATATGGCGGAAACGGATTTCTACCATTCACCAGTTACGTTTTATGTGAATTTTTGCAGTTGCAAGGGCGAAAAATTCGGAAATTAAGTCCGTAACCCGATTATTTTTTTCCGAGCTTTTAACTCTGCCTGATAGAAATCCGATTCCGAAGACGAATCTTAAAATCCTCGTAAAAATAATCGATATAGAAAATATTTTTTTTTTGTTTTTTTCATTTACTGATTTAGTTAAATTTCATTTTAAAATATATTATATATAATCTTTTCATAAAAATAAATGATTTTTTAATGTAAAAATGTCGGTGTTAAATATAAATATACTTTTTGAAGCATGTACACGCTCGATCAACGATAGAGAAATACGTATGTTTTTTTTTTTTTTTTTTTTTTTTGTTTGTTTTTCGTTTTTTAACAAGTTTTTGTATGGATAAAATAATAAAAATTATCCGTTAATAAGCGATTATATTATTTTTTGAAATTAATATAACGTTTCTTAACGGATAATCGATTTTTGGAGTCATCCCGATGACGTCTTCAATGGGGTAACATCATGCAAAGCGAATATTATTATCGTGTCACGTGCACCCTGGTCTAGAATCGTATTGTGGAGGATTATTTGTACAAAAAGCCGCCATTTTAAATGTTGGTGTCGTTCGTTTCCTCAAAAGAACTTCCGTCTCCTTTGCGTTTGCAGCTTCCAACCAGAGTTCGTTTGGCAGCGATGGATAACTTTCGGATGGGTCCTATCTCGGCCAATTCCTGTTCCAAGCGAGCTTGATATTCGGCATCTATCTGATCCAATTCTGATTTAGACAAATGATAAACGATCCCTGCTCCGAATGCGTCACCTACTACGTTGACGGATGTTCGAAGTCGATCCCTGCAACGACAGTTTGAGCGTGAGATGACGTAACACTACTCAAACAATTGCATTGTTTAGAGATCCTACTACTTACAACAACCAATCCACGCTAAGAATCATAGCGATGTCGTCCACTGGCAGTCCTAGAGCGGTTAACACCAGCATCATGGTCACCAAACCGGCACTGGGTACACTGGCTGCACCGATACTAGCTGCTGTAGCTGTGAGACTGAAAATATATATACAGTATTATAATATAGAAAACTTCTACGGCATAAATATACATAAAACATACGTTTATCCTGAAGGAAAACAGATAAACAGAATAGATAAATCCATTTTTATTATGTAGACAGGCTTGGATAAACAGTTTCGTACTTAATTAACGTGGATCCAAACTTTAAGATAAATTTGGAAATTATAACTAAATAAACTATGGGATAGGAGATTTTATCCGATACTATTTATTAAAACCTGTAAAATAAGGACTCGATATAGAAGGTAGGAGAATATTTAAATGTTTAGCGATAAATACAAGAGTACAGCACCTGTATGTTCGTATGATAAAAAGTTCTGTTTATGATAAAATAACAGTTTCAATAAATCATAAGATGCATCGGGAAAGTGAAAAAAAATATAAGAATCGGTCGATTCTCTAAAAAATAGTTTGTTTCTACTTATATTATCTTCATCTACTTTCGTGAGAATGAATAAAAACACGCAAAAACTCCATTTATCTCACAAAATGTAGTCTTTCGAACACTACAGCACCTGTATATGACTTAAGATCTGTGTAAAATGTCCCATATAAGATGAAGTAGGGGGTCATCTCGGTGCTTGCGGATCGTAGTTGGTTCGTGATGACTATTAACATAAATTTACTGTTATGTAATTTTTTTACCATTGCTGCAAAACTTCTCTTGGCTCCTCCTTGTAGACGCCCTCGATAGCGAGTTCGATTTCCATTCGAATTGCAGAATAAATTTATTATTTCTCGATAGTATTTAGATATAGAAAAGTGGGTACAAATCACTTTTTTGGACTATTTCGTAATAGGTATTATTGAAAGGCCTCGTTAGGGCATTCAGAAGGCTTTTTAACCATACCCATCTCTCGGCCAGGCCCACAATGAGGGAGCAGGGTAACGAGAAGGATTCAACGTATCCACCCCCAAAAATTCTTGGGGAACTTTCGATCCCGGTTCGTCCAGAGCATCGAAAAATACAAATCAACGGAAACAATCTATTAATATACGTTTATTAAATGGATAAATCTTATTAAAATGTTTTTTTCGAAGGTAGAATATATTTTTTTTCAGCTATCGATTAAGTAATTTCTCATATAACACACGATTAAAAATCTCAGATAGCAAAGAATAAGCCACTTGATAATCATGCAAATGGTTCGATTTATATTCAGGAGAATAAAGTAAAAAGGGGGAAACCATAAATCGACATCTTTTACTTTATTCTTTAAAGAATAAAATGATTTGCAAGTTAATGGAACCTCGATTAGTTTATTATCTTTAATTACAAATGGCTCGTATCTAATCGATTTTTAAGTCGAAGCGGTTTTTGAGAGGGCGGAAAAACCAGAATTGGTAAGAAGAAAAAACTATATTTTGCAAAAAACAAAAAAAGAAAACCTCTCTGATTTAATGATTTTTGTTTTAAAAAAGATCTTCTGATGCTTACTAAATACATGCAAACGTCGAGTCATTAAGTTGTTTGAATACATTAGACTAAACGCTCAGACCTCCTCCAAATTTGCATAAAAAGATTGTCATTCATCGAGATGTTCTCCTCCATCGATTGTCATCAATAAATAAGTCATGCCAAGATTTTTATCGTTTAAATTCGCTAAATACACTTCATTTTATTTTTGACCGAAAAATCGAAATTTGAATTTGAAGTAGTTGTAAATGTTGCCAATATAATCGACACTTTCCAAGCAGCAAATCGCTGAGCCATGCGATTAAGCTCAGATGATTCGTTGTGTTTTGTACAGTGTCGAGGCAATACATGACGTATTTCGTCTTTTAATCTTTAGGTATCCAAGTATAGAAAGTGTAAATGAGATCGTGGTTTCATTTTCGTGATGGTAATCGAATCCGGATCCTCATGCACAAGCAAATACAGCTTTCGATACAAGTTAGTGGGCGTGTGGTTAATGAATTCTTATGTGAATTACTTGTACTTTAGGACAAACAAATCGTGTTTCGAGTGTTACAAATAATGTGCCATAGATTAGAGATTTTTTAAAGCTAATTTAAACCTAATTTTCATGTTATCATTTAATAGCCATTTTTATAAAGTGTTCAAATTAACAAAAAGGAACCGGAACCACTTATGGTTACATACTGGTGGTTACGTCCTTCCTTTATCATCAAGTGTAAGAAAAATTATGCCAATCGATCGAACGTTTTCGAATTTTTAGAAATTAATTTTATTAATTTTCTTGCCGTCACGAATGATTTAACTCGTTTCGTGGTAACACATTTAATCGATAATTTTTTCCGGTGCTCGCGCGTTCGCTTCACATCCTCTGTGTGACGTAACTCGCACTGGTCTAATTTAAATTTTCTGCCAAACTCCGTTGACAAGTCGATCGAGCTCGCAACAATAAACGTTATTAAACATTGCACTCGGAATTATCTATTGAACTTTTGCCAGGAAGTCACCCGATGTGTGTAATCAATAGATAAGTACAGTACTGCCACAAAAGCCACATATACTAATTATACGACTAGGGATGTTAAAATGGAGAGAATTCGTGGACTTACCTGACTGCGATAATTTTACCAGGATCCAATGGTACATCGTTCATCTGGGCTATGAAAATAGAAGCCACAGCTTCATATAGAGCTGTGCCATCCATGTTGACTGTGGCACCCACTGGTAGTACGAAACGCGTTACACGCTTGTCAATCTTGTTGTTCTCCTCCAAACACTGGAATGTAACTGGCAGAGTGGCGGCACTATGCATATAAATAGTAAATGAAACGTGAGTTTTTCTATGGCACACCTGTAAAAACGTCTGGTGTCAAGAACTCACCTGGAAGCGGTACCCAAAGCTGTAATCCAAGCTTGCAGCATTCCTCGGAAGAATGTGAGTGGGTTCTTTCTAGTGAAGACGAAATAAAGCAGCGGAAGGGTGATGCACGCGTGGATGATGAGTCCCGTGATAACCGTAACCATATAAAGTCCTAGCGCATTAGCAGTAGTAGCTAAATCCTTGATAAGCATGATCTTCCCGATGATCAAAAACATGATACCGATAGGAGAATACCTTGGAAATTAAATTAGAATTAGGATTATCTTCTTAATTGATGTGTTTCAGTGCGTAGTAGAACACCAGTGCTTTGTGAGGTGTGCTATCAGTGCTCGCAAAGCACTGCACAACAAATTTTTCATAAAAATAGCAGAACATTTCAAAAATTCACTTTAAAATGTTAGTTTATTGCCTACTTAATATTATTTGCGTAAAAAACGTCTTTTAAAGTGGCATCTTCGCCCCTACACGTGCCACCAAAACTCGTGCGCGCCACTATTCAAAAAAGATGAGAACCACCGTCCTAGATGATAAAATCCCGATGATAAATTTAATTCAGTTAATAACTTACCACATAACTAAGCCAACGATCCTCATGATGATGTCATTAAGTACCACGAAAAATTGCACCATTAACTCTCCATCGTGACCCATCTGACCCGCAATTATGCCAAAAGCCACGCAAAATACGATTAAACCTGCAAAAAAAGTTTGAGTTTTGCTATTTTAAATAAAACCATTAAAACATTTTTACTATTTTAATGATGATTTACCCATAACGTTGGTTCCATCTCTGTAGACTATAATGGCCTTTTCTTTAATTTCGGTCATGTTATCCTTTGTCACGTTAACCTCTTTGTACGTTGTGTGAGCAGACTGGAAGCAAGCTTGGAGCAAATTATCTGGAAACAAATTCCTGAAAAAGAAAGTGTTAGTGTCTTTTCTGCTTACAGGAAGTTTCAGAAGATGATGCTCACCTGATAAGATCCAGGAAGGAATCTAAAGTAGAAACAGTCACGGATGTTTGTTCTTCTTCCACGTGGACTTGCTCCTTAATGGCGGGATCACCGGGATGAATAGACGTTACCAAAATGATACCAACGATGGCAGCAAAGATGGTGGTCGCGAAATAATATAGTAAAGCTCGATAACCCATTTTACCACTGGATTTTGCATCCAACTGAGCCAATCCTGCAAGTATAGTATATTCATGTACAGTATTCGCAATTAATAACGTGAGCATAGAATTATATACGAAAGATAAACTTACCCGAAATCATAGAAGATATGATAAGTGGTAGAATCAACATTTTCAACATGCTCATCAATATGTCTCCCGGGAATAAGACTAACATGGCGGTCTTTTCGCTGTAGTCACTCAAACGAGCTAGAAAACCTATGAGTATTCCTAACAGAACTCCTATGATGGTCAGGACTAGGAGCAAATTGACTCTTATCCATTTCAGGACCTGCATCAAGATATTAAAATTACAATTTTCAATAAAATTTCCATGTCAAGATTGAAATTGTTTACCTTTCTTAGCGATCCAGCTCGCGAATATCTCAAATTACTCAGCATTGGTGATTTAGCATTTGGTTCCGATGGTTTCTGATCCGCCATTTTGTTTCAATCTGAAAAGGCCATAATTGTAGTGAATTAGTTTTGTAAATGGTCAATGCATCTCTTACAGGAAGAACAACTGGGGATACAAAGAATAACGCGTAATTTTGATTGTGAATCACGCGAATAAATAAAAATTTTCTTAAATTGAAGATGATGCGGCCTTTACAATAAGTCTTTCAGGAAGCCCCAGCCTCCTGAAAGCTCTTTATGTAGGGATTTAATCACTACGTCTAAAGGTATCTACTTAACCATTTACTAAGGCACAAAAGGCTCGTTGTACAGGAATCGAGTGGAAATTGAGGGGCGACATATCTGGCACTCCACCCCCTGAAAATCCAGCTTCTTCAAGCAAGAAGTTATGCTTGTTTTCTACACTTTCAAGAGAATTGATTACGTATTGATACAAGTAATGACGACGATGGCGGTGATTTATGAACTGTTCTAAATCACAAATTCCTATGGTCCTAGATCTTTATATCTCGCGCCGAAGTACTCGAATCCCTTCAGGAAAGCAGAGTGAATCTTTGTATAAATAAGTAAATTTCACCTGGAACTTACCGAAACTCTCGTTGAATTAAGTAAATCCATACAAAGAATTAATATGTAGTGGGCCAAAACCCAAATAGAACTAACAAAATCTTCAGCAGCTGCCATTAGAGATATGAAAGATTCAATTAGTTTCCACATATTTCTTGTAAGGAGACATCCCTTCTGGTTTAGTAGACGAGCCGTATCGATTGACCCCGTAAGCTTCATTGATTACATCATATCGAATCTTCCTGAAGAAATCCAGACTAATTTATATGTCTGACTTTTATTTACATTTAATTCGGGGTCAAGGGTCAAATTTTCTACAATTTTTCTTTACAAAATTTCCTCCTTTTCTACAATTGTAAGTTTCATTTTAAAGTATTAAATAAACCAAATTTTACTAAATATTGAACCTTTGACACGCGAAATGACGATCGATTTAACTGTATTTTTATTAATTCCTAATGCTAAACACCCGAATTAGAAGGCATTTAACACAGTCTAATTGGCATCCTTTTCTGGCAAGTTATAGACAGTAATATTAAAAATGTAGTACGGGATCTACCGGTTGGAAAACATATATACACGACACGCGAACTCAATCGACCTTACATAGGGCTAAATGTAAAAATGGCGAAACAATCAAAATATGTTGGAAAGTTTCGTGCTTTTTAAAGTGTTTCACGTGGAGAAGCCAGAGGGAAATGGCGTGTGAAAGTGGAAGTTTGAAGTTAATTTACATTTTAAACCCCGGGGAGAATCAAGATCAAGATTTACCTTTTAAACGAGTCATTAATTTTTATGAATTGAAAGTTTGTTTACTCGACAAATACCATTTTCTCTTTAAATACGTTATAAGCGGGCTTTATATAGTCTACATTTTGACGTTTGTCGAGCTGTTCGACGTTTATTTTACGTCATTTAAAACGTAATACGTGCACCTTTCGCATGTCAAAGTTCAACGTTTAATATTTAGTAAAATTTGGTTTGTTTAACACTTTAAAATAAAACTTACAATTGTAGAAAAGGAAGAAATTTTGTAGAAAAATTAATCAAAAAAATTTGTTTTTTTCTTTGCCTTTTCTGATGTGTTTAGGCCTAACATAAATTGTTGTTTAGTGTGTTATATGGAGCCTTTCAAAATATATAAATGTTCTGAAAGGCATGGTAAAATTCGTGCCTCTGTATCTTCTGAAAGGTTAAAAGGTTCGGCACAGCCACTGCTTCTATATCTTCTGAAAGGTTAAAAGGTTTGGCACAGCCACTGCTTCTATATCTTCTGAAAGGTTGCGCAGGGTGCATATACTTCTATAGCTTCTGAAATGCTCAGCATAGTGCGTGCTTTTGTATTTTCTGAAAGGCGCATCACGATGCACGCTTCTATCTTCTGAAAGACAAGCACAACGCGTGCTTAACAATCTTCTGAAAGGCTAGTGGGTGCCTCTATTTTCTGAAAGGCAAGCGCAGTGCGTGCTTGACATTCTTCTGAAATACTCAGCATTATGCTTTTTCGTCATCCGAACCGCTCAACACTGCTTTTGTATATTTTCAATTGCTCAATGCAATTTACATTTTGTCAGTTTTTTTTACTTAAATTTGAATTAACCCATTAAAAAACATGCAATAAATAATTTAGAATTTCGACGACAGATGGCAAGACGTGCCAAGTAAGTAGCCATTTTTAGTTCCACGTCGTTTGTCTTTTAAAATCCTCTTTAAAATATTTTCTTTTGTTTTCTCTAATCACTCGGGGCTTACTTAAAAAATGTTTAAAAATAGCAGCAAAAAACCTTGAGATTTAATTAACGAAAGTAACTTAAACCCTAAGTAACTTCCAAAGAATGAAGGGGAGGAGGACGAACGGGGTTTAAATATTCTCACGTGCTTCTATTCTCGCGAGATTTGGATTGAATGACAAAAGTTGGCAGAGCCAAGGGGGGAGGTAGAAGAAAAAAATTTACATAACGTTGCATTCTGGTTTGAAATAAAATAGCTCGAGACCTACTTGAAAGTCTTAGCATTCTTTTAGCAGAATGCATGAAGGATAAGCAAATTCGATGAATTTTAACACCTACTTTACACTTAAAAATAGAAAAGAAAAAAAAAAATCACAAATTTTTCACTAAAATAGGATTTAAAAAAAATGGGCCACCTTTCCCGAATTACGCTTAAGATTTCGGGAAGGACGATATAAAACGACTACATCTTATCTGCGAGTGAGGGAAAGATGACACAGGTTTAATACCAAAGAGATAAGTCAATACAAAATCATCATTACTAGATAAAAATCCATACCTTGCCACATCGGACGAAGTGGGGTATCTTCCCTCCATTATAGACACGTATTAATAAAGAGGGAGGAGGAAAGACAATGATGTATCGGAATTTCCACATTTACAGTTTTATAAATAAGCCGTGACATAATTTTAAACGTGTCGCGCTGTCGAAACGTTTTGGCACAGCACGAGGTACTCGGCTCCTTTCGATAATGCATCCGATTGCGTGTGTCGTTTTGACCCCCCCTCGAAAAAAATCCTCGGGCTATGTTTAACTTCTCGAAAATAATAATAAACAATACTCGGATTCAACATAAATCACGCCAATTGAGCCAAAATCTAACAAATAGAAGATGGGAGGGGGTGCTAAATGTTTGCAAAGTGGATGCAGGGGAGGGTTTTTCGAATTTCTCATAGTTTTCGGAGGAATTCCATCTATAACCAGGCGTGTGTTTGTTCCAAGTAGAACTACTGAGTTAACTTCTTTTGGATGATGATCAGCAACGTGCAGTACCACTGCGAACACATTGCAACACTCAGTGGAGCGTTATAGATTCATGGGCGCCCAGGCAATTTTGAATTAGGGGGCCTCTTGTACAGTGTTATATTTCGAATCGTTTCCTTGTAAGTTTGGTTCGGTGGGATGCGGAAAGGCAACACATGATCAATCCTACCAAAGGGATGCCACTTGGGAGGACTTTCTACGAGAAACTGGCCATTGTTTAGGTGGAGAAAAACCCGCAAAACTCCACGTAACGTAACTCGGGTGTAAACACGCGACCAAATACCAGAGTTTGGCGGTTTTGTTAGGCGAAAACCCGCGACCAACAAGCAGTATTTAGGGCGCGAACCCACGACTAACTACCAGTGTTAGATTTTATCCATTCGACGACTGGGCACGTTTCATTATAAGGATCTTCCACTTTCTTACTTTCATTACAAAGTACACAAACATTTATAAAAATCCGTTATTAATTGAAAGAGTGAAGTAAACAAACCCGAAATTACACAATCTGTAGCCAAGCAGATAACACAGTCGTGTTTTCAGAAACAACATCCTTTTATAAAAGTAAATATATTATATTAACATTCGAGTTTTGTTAATCTGTTTTGTAACTGCCAGCGGGAAAATTCTTTAACACTAATCGCCTTACGTGACGTCAGACCAGACTGATTTATTACACTTCTTGGACTTTTCTTTTTAGACTTACAACAGTGTCCATTACCTTAGCCATGTAAAAAATATGGCAAGTGTATGTACTTTCGAGCGATAACACAGAATTTTGGTCAACTTTTCTAATACAGATGGCATGATTAGTCGCAAGTTCGCACTCCGACAATGTCACGTTACATTTTTTTGTTTTCTTCGCATGCTTAACACCTAAATGGGGCCAGTTTGGCGTAGAAAGTCTCCCGGCAAGCACTGGGCGATCCGCCAAGTGTTTATACATAAATGTGGGCCAGTTTCTCATAGAAACTTTATGTATAAACACGTAAAGAAAACTCGGAAAACGACACGTGCCGTTACGGGTGTAAACCCGCGACTGATATTGGATGGTTTTTATCCACTCGGCCATTGGTGGGCCATTTATATGGGTAAAAAACAAACCTTTTATAGTTTTATGGATAGTTCAGTCAGGGCCCGTTATGAGGGAGTCAACCAGAGCCAACTTAGTGGTTCCTACCCTGCGAATTAATGTATTTTTAACTAAGCATTCCACACGTTACAGAAACAGAAATGGTAAAAAGGGGCCCGCTGAAGAAACAAGTGCCAACGCTACCCCAGGCCCCATACAAGCGCTCGAATGCCCCAGTTGGAGTAGGCACGGTTGCATTTTATATATAGTTGGAGTATACGGTATTGAACTTTTTATGAGTTTGTGGGGTGGTCGTACGTAGGGTGGTTACAGTTTCGTGGGTCATATTAGAAAAGAAAGACAATAAAAAATCCCGATTTAAGCCGAAAAAATATCGCTTTTCAACAGAAATTTCGTCGAAAAAACATGAAATAATTTTCTTAACAAGAAAATAATTGGAGGGGTGAGAATTAAATTGTAAATAGGAAATTGCAGCATTCTAAAAATTGCAATTGTAATAATTCAATTGATCATCCTACGCTACTAGAGTTAGAAATGGCGCTGTTTTGTGCCCCATTGTTTGTGTCTCGTGTTAAAGAAACTAGTGTCTAATTAAGGGACGACGTCACTTCCTGTTTGACACAATTATATCCGCTTATCCGGGCATCGAATTGACAAACATCCTATCAAAAAATCATAAAGAGTAACGGCGATAACCTCGGGTAGTGTATAAGTTATATATAAATATATATAACGTTCAATTAATAAATTTAGAATGTGGCAACTTCACCCGGGGTTATCTTATTCAAATAAATAAAGGCACGTCGAACGGATATGTAACCTTTACGAATAGCAAAAGATAGTTGAAAGTTACGCAATGAGGACGCGTAACGTTACGTTTTTTTTCTCCATACACCGAAGAATCTTCTGTATATACAAAAGATGTTACTAATAATGTAGGGCATTGGTTACGTCTACTTCAATTATCTGTTGAATGCGTGTAATTATGTGCTTACTCATGAAGCGTAACTAGAAATAATGCAGTTAAAGGGGAAGGTTAACCAACTCTAATCGATCCGTGTTACGTAAGGCGTGCATCTCGATGCTTAATTAAGTTTTTCTTTCTCGATTTTTGGCTTAAAATAGGCCCGTAACGTTACGAAGAGGAACAATTTCGAGTGAAAATTTCTAATTTTTAACGTAACGACGACAAAAATGTCCACAAATTGATGTAGAAACTTAGTTTCGAATTATGAAACGAAGAAATTCGATATGAATGGAGGTATATTTAGAAGTTACAAACGCGAATTGACCCGTTTGATTGTCTGTCTGAACGTCTGGCACTACGGTTTGTTTGAATGGAAGCCAAAAGAGCGCAAAACGGGAGGGCAATGCAGACGTAATTGGTTCCCACCCTTCCTTTTTCTTCTATATCAATTTTGGCGCTGATGCTAAACCACATGGGATCAGATTCGTTCGGTGTCGATTCTCACGTGATTCACACAAGTGTCACCTGTTTACACTCTCCCCTTCGTAAGAACACTTCACACGCGAACAATTAATACACGAGGGCACCTCTACCTCACAAATTAAGTGGCAAACCATTCTTACTAAGGGTCGATAATACACTTAAAGTCATTAATACTCTTAACATTTGGAGTGTTTATGCACCAATTTTCCAAGGAATTTTTCAAATTTTTTAACACTAAAGAAGTCCTTGTTTTCGCTTCAGTGTGAAGCGTCATTGAAGTTGTGTAAAAGTTTATTAAAGAACAATTACTCTGTAAATGATGCTTCAAGTAAGACTTTATAAAGGAAGTACCCCAAAACTAATGAGCTTGGAACAAGTAGGCTTTCCCCTTGTGTAGTATGTACTTTAACAAATGAAGTGCTTCGTAACTCTAAAATAGTCATCCTGCACGTGATACTTAACAATTAAAGTGTCACCAGACATTTTAGAATCCCTCTCCTCGTATTTACAGTTCAGTGACTGTAAACGTGAAGAGGGATTCTACTTTCAGTTTACCTACTTTCACCAATTTTCTTCGAGCTAGCCACGTTATTTACTACTTTCCAGGGGCCCTCAGCTCACGAAAAACAATTGGAAACACTCATAAATCTATTCACCACCCCCGAAATTAACTTTCAACTCGAAAATATCGTAATTTTTGTCAGCTTCTACCTCCAAAGTTTCGTGGATCCTGACGAAAACTGTGAAGCACCCTTGAATTCTTCATCCCTCACCTCAAAATTAAATAGCTCTCGTAAATAATGGCGATATTCTGCTCTTCGTTACGCGAAAATTACGGTTTTAAGAGCGTTACGAAGGTTACGAACACCCGTTTCACTGGTGTAAACAGATACTTTTGCATCTGCAAGGGGTCAAAGGCGAGGGATAGGACTGTTTTTACACTGACAAAGGGTCATAGATTAAAGCAAGGAGTGGGTAGAGTAACATAAATGCGTAACGAGCTCCGAGAATATTTCGTAACTGTTCGCATCCCTCACACGACAAGCAAGGTTACGTGTCATTTTTTCGGATGAGAACGCATCTACAGGAAGGGAATTGCGTGACGAAAGCAAATAATTCGATAAATCGATTAATCCCTCGACGAATCGAGCGCTCCGTGCGCCAAAATTACCCCTAGCGGAGCGCGGGATGAATCGAATTGTTTGCGCTAGAGGAGATGATTGATGAAGGTGTACGTCTCGTATGTGGGCTCGTTAATTACTAATCTTAATAAGAATGAAATTAATTTCCTGAATGGAATATGATTTTATCAATGAATTATTCAAACTCGTAAATTAACTTTACTTATTATCCGCTCCATGAATAATATTCTCGTAATTTATATTATATACAACAACGCCCTGAAATTGCCATTTACTACGCTACTTCATATAATAATTACGCGTTAAGAGCCGAAACAATGACAAATTATATTAATTTGTAGCAGGATATCAAAATTTGCTTTGAAATATTAAAATTACCAGCACTTTAAAGCGACATTTTGATGAATGATCTCGGCGCATTATAGCATTTTCGATGCAATTTTTGGATGTTTTTTGCTGCTTTCGTCGACTTTAATGCGTATTTTTTCAATCTGGACAGACGTTTTTTACAATAGAACACATTTTCTTATAGTTTTAAAGTACATTTTTGTGCTTAAATTTAGAGATTTTGATCACCTCACCGTCTTGTTGCTTCTCTAATAATCGCTGCTTTTTCGCAACTTGCGGGCATATTTTCCTCAAGGTTCACACCCGTGCAGAGCCTAAAATAGCCCAGGGTTCATGCTCATATAGAGCTTAGAACTGCTCAGGATTCACACCCATACAGAGTTTAGAACTGCTGTGGGTTCATACACATACGGAGCTCAGAACTGTTAAGGGTTCATCCTGGTTACTCGCATCTTGAAATAACGAACACGAACGAGAATTCATGCGAATTTTCCGAATAAAACTAATATGAACTTTTTACAAACAAATATGGCTTCCGTCAAAGAAATTAATTGAAACTTTTCTCTATCGAATTGCGGGGTTTCCTTCTCCATTCAATACTTTTGAAGCTGCAAAAAATGATTTCGGCGGGGGATGGAGACCGGCTTGGCTCCCCTTTCGCTGGAGCCAAAGTCTGGCTGACAGGAGGAAGATAGACAAGAGGTCGACTTCGATCGTCACACAACAGAAAACGTGACGCAACGACTAATTGGCGGTTGCTGATGTATCGAGTGTGTTCCAAGGTCATCGAAGGGAATAATTGCATGCAAAATTAGTGAGTGATTAACGAAAATTGGTGAAAGTGTAGCATTTTCTACGGCCGGCCTCGAATATAATTAAAGACTATGAGTTAATTCGTACGCTTATACCTCGTCCCCCGTTTAGTTTATTAATTACGTTCGGTTCACTCCCCCCCCGTAACTAGTTAAACGTGTTTAACGACTAGCAAAGCTCTAACCCCATTCGTAACTCGGATGTCGTAAGAGACGTTTACGTGCTCCACTTTAAATTGAATTAAATGTATCATAAAAACATTTCGAAAGATAATTTCGGTTGGTTTCCGGTTGGAACTGTACATACAATATGAATTTCCGGTGTTCTAATCCGGTCTCGTCACGTATTGTTGAGATTTTGAAACTCCGAAATCGCCAAAATTTACATTTTTCAAGCTTTCGTCATATAAAATGTCGATTGTTTATCATATATTGTGATGATCTCACTTTTTATCCTATGATTTGTATGGAGTTACCAGGTTTTCGGGTATAATGAATTGAGAATTGTTATCAGATCCAAATTTTGAATAGTGTTCACAATTGTTATTGGATCCACAACTCTACAGAGCTTAGAACTGCTAAGAGTTCACACCCAGAGTTATGAACTATTGTTATTACAATAGCAACAGGCATTATAATAGAATTTATATGGTATCAAGTTGGTACAGAATTTATAACTTTAACATCCTACTTTAATTCAAACTAGAAGTAATGTAGGATTTATATATAAATATATGATGTAGAAAAATACAATTTTATTCAAAAATTATTTAATTTTAAAAGTATGTCATTAAACACGCGCAACACACACGAAACACTGAAATTTCTATTTAAAAATCTCCCATAGCGTTGAACTTAGAACTCAGTATTCGAGTTAAAATGTTAGTTTCTATAATAGAAAACAGGAACAGACTATTGTATAATATGTGTACTAAACACAACACAAGTTTCTCTAATTGTAAAATCGCCATTAACAATCGAAACAGTTGAACGAGCATAAGAAACCATTACATTATACATGGAAGCATAACTTGACCTGACCATTCCATATGCACAGAGAGATAAGTCTTGGTATTTTTTCCTATCAGAGTCTTCCAAAAACCACCACGTGCCACTCCCACAGAGATAAACATAGTTTATATTCTCCTCACAACTACTTCGACCCCCTTTATCGAGTTATGCATTCATCACTTTCCGATTGCAGACGAGTTTTTGTATAGAGAAGTGAAGGTTTCTATACGCTTATGATACACTACTGTGCTACTTGGATAGAGTGTTTACGTCACAAAACTAGTTATAAAATTAGAAAATAGCGATTAAAATTACTCGGGAAGTGCAATCGGTAATTAATACTTCCTTTCAAAGTTATACGACTGCACACTTGCTCTAGAAAATGTCTGGAAGGGAGAGGAAAGTAATGAAAGTAGTTAATTAAACAATGATTAAGTAGTGTTACGTCAGAGAAATCGATACTTTTCAGTAAAGAAGACTGCATTTATTGTAACTTTACAGAATAATTCTAACTTCACTCGGCTCTACGGGGGGGGGTGCATTTGCTACGAAACCGAGCAAAAGATGTCGTCCACCATACTTAAACACGAGGGAAAAGCAGGTAAATCGAAAGGTTAACGAAGGAACTTACCTTTTTTAGTCGCTGTGGAGGAGCAAAACTATATCCTTGTCTGGTGTACGACTAACGCTTAGGAGAGACACCCGAAGAGGTCACGTGGTTCGGGTAGTAGGCTACTTCCTTCGAATCTCGTGATAATCTACGAGAAGACACGGATATTTGGCATTCATCCAGGCAGTTTTCGTAGACATTTCAAAGACGAGGCTAACTACAAATAAAATTTATTAATAAAACCGATATTTGTTCCGTCTGTTTTTGCTCTTTATTGCATAAATAAATTGATAAATATGTAATTATGCGAACGAGACGTGCGAGATTACCTGAAACCTTGCCAAAGAAAACGATGTTACAGGAATAAGGTTAAAGTATATAATAAACATCGACTTGTAACACTAAACTCTCTCTACCTCTGCAACAATGCAAGCTTTGCAGTGATTTAAATATATAATAAGGTTATTTTTATGCTTAGAATATAGAAATTTGGAGCCATTCTTGTAAAATTATCGTAGGAAAATGGAATAAATAAAGCGTAAAATTACAAGATGATAGCAGCTGTTAAGATAATTTCTGCTGATTCGGAACTAAATCATGCCAAAGTGTAACCATGCATCGAATGATATGCTCCAATGATGCTCTCTGTATCTTTATTACTAAAGTAGAATTTCGTGCCAATGCTAGTCAATAAAAAGAAAAAAGAATTTCGTGCGTTTCATTCAGCCAAAACGACCCTTTGACACGAAAAAGTGCGGGAGTTTTGCGCTTTTCTGAACGTCACAACAATGCAAACTCAATTTGCATTGTTATCTCATTCACTTGTGACTAGTATGCATCGTTGGTGTCGCTGCGATAGTCGCTGACGTCAGCAACGTAAGTTTTCCATTGTTAAAGTCCCGATTTTTACATTGTTGAGGTCAGTTTCAACAGTGTAAACTTTTCATTCTTACGTCACGCTCTGAAAGATGTAACGTTTGTATTCTGACGTCACGGACACGATAGTGAAAACTTTTCTGTTTCAATAGTGTAAATCTATTATCGTTTATGCCAGCGGTATTGAAGCATTGTTTATCGCAATTTCGCTTTAAAATTTAAAGATTTTAAACAATATATTCGAGATAAAAACTAGTTTAAAAAGCTGGCAACGTTGTTGCTGAACTTTCTGGCATTCTTTACGTGTTTTCATCCCTAATAATTGTTACTATTACTTTTAAATCTTCATATTGTTTGGGAGATATTAACGGATGGATCATATCTTCCGAACCAATTTTCCGATATTCCTGAAAATTTCTGGAAACATTTTCCCCTAATACATAAATCTCCCTGCAAAATTTCAGAAAATTTCGACAAAAGGCACAAGAATTATTAAGCTTTAAAGTGGATAAACAAAATCGTGTCCACACACACTTGCGTCTCATATGTACAGGAAAAAAGCCCAAAATTTTTCTGTATTTCAAAGTCTTGGGGGTTATTTGTTGAGCCATCGCCATACTTTCTCTCTGTTATATATAACAGGCGAGAAGCAAAAAGTGAGACAAGATACAGATTCTATTCATTAAATGTCAAATTCTAACTCATTTTAGCACACAGTAACTCATTTATAGCAAAATGAGAAGGATGCCAAGACGTAAACACGCGTAACACTACATAATATCTCGCATAAACTGGCAAAAAGACTCGAGGTTACGGTTACATTTTAATGGTGTTCTATCGATCGCCGTCAGTTAAGCGTAACCCTCCTTTGTTTTTTTTTTTTCAAAGATGGTTCTTCTCTATAATAGCCCAATTACTTATTGTACTTACTGTCCTGTAAATAAACTGGTGTTACGAAGGTTAAGAAAGAATGTGGACAGAACTTAATTGTTCATCGATGCTTTACAAGGACGAGAAGTTGTCAACTAGATGAGCAAATTAACAAATTGAAGATGATTAGAAGAGGAGAGGGGATAGCCCCATTATTCCCACACTCTCCGGGTGACGTCAATACTTAATTAGAATGGCATATGAATGATGACGAAATAATTTGGACGCTACAGGATGTCTCATTAATGTCACACCTCGATTAAAGAAGTGTAGTTCCGCATTCGCATCTTCTTTCACCTCGTCTGCACTTCAATACAGAAAACAAAGGAGTGTCGTGTTACGCTACGTCACACGCACTAACACCCTTTTCATTACGGAGGAATACAGCCGATAGACGCAAATTACAGCTTAAATATGTAGAAAAAATATACAACGAAGATTCTCTCTTGTTTACTCTATAGATTGGGAGATAGACACAGTTGAAAAGTCACTTTTACTTAATGTAAACAAGCATCTCACCAGATTTTACACGTATTAATGAAAGCTAAACACGGAAACATGCGATTTTCTCAGTAAAAATATTGAGATTTAATTTCAAATTAACTTTTTTACCGGTTAAAAGTTCAGAAAATGCTGAAGGATCTACTGTTGAGAGCGAACGTTTTACTCCTTCTTGTACAGAGTTTCGATTAATTTTTAGTAAAAATAATTAGTTTATTTGGTTATTTTCGTACATTTTTAGTGTTTTTTTTAATAAGTCAAAAGATGAAAAATAGTGAATTATAAATTTAAAAAATTCACTGAAATGGACATCTTTAAAAGGTATGCAACAAGTGAAAAACCTTGAAATATAAGAGAATTAAACAATAATAATCATTTTTTGCACCATTTTTTTCATTTTTTATTACTTAAAAATCAAGAAAAATATACAAAAATGTTCCTGGCTTTAAGTGTTGATACTCTATGCCAACTGTAAGATTCTTGCTGCATATGGTTCCACTTAATTACAACCAATGACGTAATTAATACGTGGGAATAAACCAAAATGTGACGTAACTTATATGCACGTGTTTTACTGGAAACAACCTTAGCCAAATGCACACAGCCATTTAAAAAAATATATTTTTTAAACTCCACATTAGGCACGAAACGGATCTATAGCAATACAAAGCTCCATCTAGTGCCCGAAATCGTCACTAATAATTAGTTTACGGTTTTATTTATCGTTGATTTACGTCACACGCGGTAGAATGCGATCTACCAGTTGAGGAAAATTATTCAGAAAACATTTTTTTGCTTTAGTAGAAAGTGATTTTTTAAAAAATAATTTCCTCACTTTACAACCTTTCAGAGTGTGAATTTATATTATTTTTCCTCCTCTAATTATTATTATTTAGTTAATATTTCGTTTTAAATATTATTTTAGATTATTTTGACGATTTAAAACGTGCGAAACAAGTCGAAAAATTTGAAAAAATTCAACTGGAAGTTCCTGAGCCAGACACTTTTGGATGTAAAATAAAGCTATTTTTTCCTCCAAAAAATACATAAAATGTAGAATTTTTTTTAATAAAAATGAATTTTTCTAAAGATTTTTACAGTTTTATAATTAATTTTAAGTACCTGTATTGTGTAACACCATCTAAAAAAGTCTCTTGACATCTGCTTATGATAAAAGTCCCTTGCTGATTAACAGATGTTAATGACATTTTAGACGAATTTTTCTTAGAAATTCCTCGTATAATAAAGAAAATAAATGAATAAATTTCAAGGATATTTTATATTTTTCATATTTATGAAGTTATATGTTCGAATTTTATAATCCCTCTGTTATATATAACACAGGGAAAGCATGGCCATAGATCAAAAAATGACCCCCAAATGTTTACATTTTTGAACCTCGTGAACCCAAAAACGTTCAACAAGTTGAAAATGCAAAAAATTTGGGCGTTTTTCCTGTACGGATGGTAGTGTTAGCGGGTAAGTGTGGGGCCCACGATTTTGTTCGCCCACTTTGAAGCTTAATAACTCACATGTCCTTGGGCGAAAATTTTTGAAATTTTGCAGGGAAGTTTGTGTATTAAGGGCATACATGCTGTTAAATTTTCGTGTTTGAAGATCAAGGTGATGGGGAGATTATGGGGGTGACGTGTCGTGTTATTAGCATTTAAAATGTATTATAAAAATCGTCTATACTCTCAAAATTCATCTTTTCGCCATTTTATAATAATTAATAATATAAAATTTGATGCCACGAATTTTTATCTTTTGCCGGAAAAGTTAAGCAACTCGTCTTGGATTTGGTGGAGCCGTCTGCTATTACATTTTATTATTAAAATTTTTTAAATATTTTTAACTATTATAAAATACAAAATGATCAATTTTGAGGGTAGGGACGGGTTTTATAAAAAAAAAACAAATGCTAATAACGAGTAAAATCGTCAATAAGTCCGACCTTGCTGGAGATACACAAGGCCCCCATTATCTCTCCATTTAAAGTGTGAATTTTGTAATATTAATCTTAGATGCAAAAATTATGTAAATTTTGCAGAAAACGCCACAGAAAATTTAGGTCTTTAAAGTGGAAAACTCTCCAAAAATGCCAGATTTTCATGAAAATTTTTGTAAATTTTACTCTAGAATGGTGTGTGATTTAAAATAATAATAATAGGGGAAGGTGGTGCAAGATGGGGCCATGGGGTAAGACGGGGACGTCTGTTTTTTCGCGGTTAACGCGCTTTCATCTAGCTGTTATTTGGGGAACTAAATGTCTACCTCAAAAGGGATCACCGGACGAGAGAACGTCCGAATCGCTCTCTTTGTTTGGAAGTAAGACAGTTTTCCACGTTTCGGCAATACTTCATCTAATTTTACGCCCGCTACAAAGTTTCTACAAAGTAAGCATCATTGCGAACTTTTACATTACCTTTTAGATGAAGATATTATGGTATTCGAAGTAACCTTTAAGACCGAAATTGTTTAGTTTTGAAATAAAGTTGACCCGTGTTTGCAGTCAGTGTGAAAAGTGCACGTTGGGGCAAGACGCCCAACGTGCACTTGGGCAAGATGGTAGGGGCAAGATGGAGTACCCCATCTTGCCCCTACCATCTTGCTGAAGGTTGGCCACGAATTCTACCGCTGGCTAGAGGCATCGCAATATAGTGCAGCGAACTAGTTTTAAATTCGTTGTCATTGATAATTCTATATCATTTTTTCGAATATATAAAATAATAAGTTTAAAACTTATCTTTTTATAGAAAATGAAATATTCTACTTTTAAATCATATCTAATTGTAATAAATTTATACAGTACTGTATATACTGTATTAATTTATTATTTATGTTTTTACGTT